CACCTGTCATCGTTTATTTTATCAGGATCCAATTCACAAGAAAATATCTCTGATCTAGTGCTAGCAACTTGCTGTAGAGTGATCCTAGAAGTGGCTCAGTCTAGTTTCATCAATGAATGTGAGAGTAAGTGGAATGCGTGTGTGTATATCAAGATGGTGAATTTCCAGAAACTACCTTTCGGCTCAAGGTCATGGGAGGGAAGATTCACAGAACTTTTCATTTCTAGTGTGTGTGTGTGTGTGTGTGTGTGTGTGTGTGTGATGAAACGAGTGTGTGGTTAGAGGACAACTTGCAGGACTCAATTCTCTCCTTCCACCACATGAGTTCTGTGAATCCAACTGAGGTCATCAGGCTCAGAAGCAAGAATCCCATCCCTCTAAGCCATCTCACCAGCCCTGGTGTCTACTGATAATATCAAGAGTGGTTTTGTATGTTGTGTTGTCCAGTATTGTTCAGCAGAATATCGGCTCCATGAGGATGTGACTACTAATGTATTAAATGAGCAGTCAAGGATCATATACTTTTAGACAGACCTACTGACTTACACAGATAACTAGAGGACTGTATAACATAAAATATTTTCCAAACTTATTTGATGGTAGACCACCTGGACACTCTTTAAAATATGCAGTGTGACTCCAAATATATTTCAGGAAACAATGTTTTCATGTGTGTGTTTCTGTATTTTTAACTTGGATTTAATTGGATTAGCTGGTGGGAAGTTTATTCTCACACTTCAGTAACATTGGAGGATGGTAGAATGCTGGCCTCCCGAAACCATTTCTGCCATATGGATCTCATTCAGCCTTCCTCTGTCACTCCTGCTGCCACTATCAGAACACCAACAACTGGAATAGCTTTGTCCCCACTTGACTTCCACACAACACTTTTTGTCTGCCTCCCTTTCTTTGGGCAGGATGCCATATTGGAGCCTCCTGCCCTGGGGTCAAGGGTGGCCATGTCTCTGAGAGACCACATTTCTCTTACTGTCTGGCTGCTCAGAGAGATCACTGGGCTCTCCCATTATATAAAGCCCCTCTGGGGCAGGTACCTGGAACTTTCTCAACTGTGCAGTCCAGGATCTGCCTCTCTGTTGACTCTTCAAGAAGCAGTTTTGTATTGGCTTCCATCAGTTACTGCAGTGTTATGGCAGGACATACTTCCTTTGGCCACTTGCAGTCCCAAGAATGCAAAAATTCCTTCTTGTTTCCCAAAACTGTCTCGCAAACTGCAACAAAGAAGCTTGATGATATTAGAATGTTTTTTTCTGAATGGGTCTCAATTCTTTGTAGCATATATCTTTTGTATCATGAGCAAAAGAGTGTCCAGTTGCCCTTGGCCTGTCACTGGAATATCCCAGTGTCTTCCTTTCCCATTATGCCTTACCAGCTAGGATACACATGTGCAGAGTAGCCATAATGACCATACAGAAAGAAAT